AAATTTGCGGAGAGAATAGAACTTAAATGTTCTCACACACACAAAAAAGGTAAATATGCAAAGACAGTGTGTAGGTTCCTCAAAAAAATAAATATAGAACAATTCCACAGCTGAGTATCTATACCAAAAAAAATGAAAATACTAATTCAAAAAGATATATGCACCCTTGTGTTTATTGCAGCATTATTTACAATTGCCAACATTTGCTATCTCTTGTCTTTTGCTAGTAGCCATTCTGACAGGCTTAGGTGATACATCATTTTGGTTTTGATTTGCATTTCACCAATAATTAGTGATGTTTAACATCTTTTCATGTGCTTATTGGTCATCCGTATGTCTTCTATGGAAAAATGTCTTCAGATTCTCTGCCCATTTTTTGACTGGATAGTTTATTTTCTTGTTCTTAAATTATATGAGCTCTTCATATACTTTGGGTATTAACCCCTTATCAAATGTATCATTTGCAAATATCTTCCCCATTCAGTAGGTTGCCTTTTCATTTGGTTAATTGTTTCTTTCACTGAACAGAAAGTTTTTAGTTTGGCGTAGTCCAAATTGCTTATTTTCATTTCATTTCCCTTGCCTTTGGAGTTAAATCCAAAAAATTGCCAAGACAAACTGCTTACTGCCTATGTTTTCCTCTAGGAGCCTAATGGTTTCAAGTCTTACATTCAAGTCTTTAATCCATTTGAATAGATTTTTGTATATAGTATAAAATAGTGACCCAGTTTCATCCTTTTGCATTTAATGGTCCAGTTTTCCCAACATCGTTTATTGAAGAGACTTTCCTTTACCCATTGGATATTCTTGCCTCCTTTGTCATATATCAATTGTCCATACATTTGTGGGTTTATTTCTGGGCTCTCTATTCTTTTCCATCAATTAGTGTACCTGTTTTTATGCCAATACCATACTATTTTGATATCGATAGCTTTGTAGTATAGTTTGAAACTAGGGAGTCTGATGCCTCCAGCCGTGTTCTTCTTTCTTAAAAATGTTTTGGGGCGCCTGGGTGGCACAGTCGGTTAAGCGTCCGGCTTCAGCCAGGTCACGATCTCGCGGTCCGTGAGTTCGAGCCCCGCGTCAGGCTCTGGGCTGATGGCTCGGAGCCTGGAGCCTGTTTCCGATTCTGTGTCTCCCTCTCTCTCTGCCCCTCCCCCGTTCATGCTCTGTCTCTCTCTGTCCCAAAAATAAATAAAAACGTTGAAAAAAAAATTTTTTAAATGTTTTGACTATTCGAGACCTTTTGTGATTCTGCAAAATTTTTAGAATTATTTGTTCTAGTTCTCTGAAAAATGTCATTGGAATTTTGATAGAGATTGCATTGTATCTACAGATTGTTTCAGGTAGGATGGACATTTTAACAATATTCTTTCAATTCATGAGCACAAAATATCTTTCCATTTATTTGCATCTTCTTCAATTTCTTTCATCAGTGTTTTATAATTTCAGAGACTTTTGTAAGGTCTGTACACTGAAAATTATAAGACATCCTTTTATTGTCGATGCATGGTTTCATGCTGTCTTTTAGGGAGAAGCATTTTATCTAAAGGACACGTTAGAAGAAAACAGCCTTGTGCATCCTCTGAGGTGAACCCAGAGAGGATCTGAGGCAAACCCAAGGACAAAAAATTCCTCCAGAGCAAACCAGCCAGTGCGTTCATTTAAATCATTCCATACCAAGGTCAGCTCTTTGAGGATATGAACATATACAACACGGGATGTTTCTTAGAAATAAGCACTTTGTAGAATATAAATATTATGAAAGTTATACGGATCAGAGATACATAGAAAAAGACAGTAACAAAGAGGAAAGAGAGAGAAAGAAAGGCATCCAAAGAGAAAGGGAGAGAGAGACGATGACAAAGAAGAAACTAGACAAACATCAAACGTGGAGAGAAGGGTGTGCATGATTCTATTTGTCAAAGGGAAAGAAGGTAGATATTTTTGTTCTTTGTAGGTTAATATGTAAATGGAATTCTGATTTATTAGCGGTCTCCAGCAGATGAGGTGATGATTAGCACATTTCCATATTTATAGAAAAGCAACACTAACTTTCCGGATTTATAGAAAATCAGCTCTTCACAAATAGCAAATTGTGCTATTATCGACATATGGTTTTCTATAAACAGAGCTGAGGTAATTATCCCTGGGACAATTTGTTGGTGGGCTCCTTTTGAATATTAACCACATTGGAAGCCCATTTCTGCCTCACAGATTTTAAAGAGGAGGGGCCATGAGACACCCCAGACAATTAATTAGTAATCCAACACCAAAGACAGAGCCCAAATGAAAGGCTTTACCCAGGACCACATGGTGGAAAGACCATAGGTCCAGGGCTCTGACGCCAGCTTCCTGTAGCCCTAGGCAAAGTAATTAACCTCCCTGAGGAGCCTCAGCATTTCTGGGCTAAAACTGGGATGATACCAACCTCCAAATTGGCAAGAAAATTAAATGATGTTGTACACAACAGGACCCGGAACCCAGTAGGTCGTCAACAAATATTAACTATGTTTCCATCCTTACATTATTGAATGATTCTAAAAATACCTGCTTGAATTAAGCTTTTCAAACTCCTTTTTTGTATTGACCTATCTTAAACTATTTGTTTTGTATCATGACTCCATATGTGTATGCATATCTTTGTTTAACTGGAAAAAAAAAATTTATCGAAGCAATAACCTATTTTCACTACCTATAATCCTCTATGATATTTTCTATTCTCTCCTTTGTTGTTGTTGTTCAAAATGTTGTTTGTGATCCATACTGTGGGGTTGCAACCTGTAGTTTATGAAGTCCTCTGCTGCAAGAGGGTAGGGACCATATTTAGATTTACTCACCATTGTACCCCTAGCATAAACACACAAAAGATACTCAATAGATATTTGAAATTATAGAAGAATGGATACATGGATAAATGGATGAATTAATGAATGGCCCTCACCAGGAATCTAAATTAATGCCCTCTTTAAAACTCTATGTCTCGGGGCGCCTGGGTGGCGCAGTCGGTTAAGCATCCGACTTCAGCCAGGTCACGATCTCGCGGTCCGTGAGTTCGAGCCCCGCGTCAGGCTCTGGGCTGATGGCTCAGAGCCTGGAGCCTGTTTCCGATTCTGTGCCTCCCTCTCTCTCTGCCCCTCCCCCGTTCATACTCTGTCTCTCTGTCCCAAAAATAAATAAACGTTGAAAAAAAAAAAAAATTTATAAAACTCTATGTCTCGTTTTACACTCTCACTACATACTGAGCATTGTTTTGAGTGCCAAAGAGATAACATGTCAGACACGATACCTGCTTTCAAAGATCATGCTATCTAGGAGGAAAAATATTTGCATTTGGAAAATTATATTTTGAAGACTAAATAAGTGTGGAATTTATATGAATGTGCTGAAGAGATGGCCAGCCTGGGCTGGCGCAGTCAGGGAAACGTCTTAAAACTGGGTGAATTTGGGGGCGCCTGGGTGGCGCAGTCGGTTGAGCGTCCGACTTCAGCCAGGTCACGATCTCGCGGTCCGTGAGTTTCGAGCCCCGCGTCAGGCTCTGGGCTGATGGCTCGGAGCCTGGAGCCTGTTTCCGATTCTGTGTCTCCCTCTCTCTCTGCCCCTCCCCCATTCATGCTCTGTCTCTCTCTGTCCCAAAAATAAATAAACGTTGAAAAAAAAATTTAAAAAAAAAAAAAAACTGGGTGAATTTGAACTTAGTTTGGAATATGGATAGATCTCTCAACCCTCTACTCGCTCACTCATTGAGTAGGTTGGTGGTTCTCAAACTGCAGTGATCATCAGAATCACCTGGAGGGCTTGTCAAACTACAGCCTGCTGGTTCCTCTACCAGTTTCTGATTTGGTAGGTTTGGCATGGAAGCCTGAGAAGTTGTAATTCTAACAGGTTTCCAGGTGATGCTGATGATACCAGTTGGAATCCACACTTGGAGAACCCACTGTTCTAGCAGTTTTTGGAGTGAGACCATGAAGGTTGTTGACCCCATGCTAGGGAGTTTAGCTATTCAGGATTTTAGGCAAAGAAGGTATATCAGTGTATCTGTAAAGTAGAGGGATTATTCTGGTAGCAATTGTTGAGCATGGATTGGAGGGGTGAGCCTTCCCCTAGAGACCCTTTAGGAGCCAATGCAATGATAAGTGGAAGATGGAAACCCAGCCCACCACTGTAGCAGTGCAGATGGAGGAGAGTGGCAGGATGAGGGCTGGTCAGGAGTCAGAACTGAAGGTTCTTTGAGATCTCCAGGGGTAAAGGAGGAGGAGGAATCTGGGATGACTCCAGGTTTCTAGCATCACTGACTGATTGTACGGCAGTTCCATTAACCAAGAATCTATATTTGTAATAAGTTTTAACATTTTAAACAACAAAATCCCAGGGGTGCCTGGGTGGCTCGGTCGGTTGAGCGTCTGACTTCGGCTCAGGTCATGATGTCACGGTTGACGAGTTTGAGCCCCGCGTCAGGCTCTGTGCTGATGGCTCGGAACCTGGAGCCTGCCTCAGATTCTGTGTCTCCCTCTCTCTCTGCCCCTCCCCCCGCTCATGCTCTGTCCCTCTCTGTCTCAAAAATAAACATTTAAAAAATTTAAGTAACAAAATCCCAAGTATTATTTATTATCAAAGAGTAACTGGAATGTAATAGAAAACACATAGTTTTGGGGAGCCAGACAAGTCCGAGTTCAAATCCTGTTTGTGATGCTTCTCAGCAAGTGATTTCACCCTTCTGGACCTCAGTTCCCCGTAAATAATAATACTCTCAAATGGGTTGGTGACTACAATGCACTTCACCTTGTTCTGCCCCCAGTCCATTGTCACCTCCACATGTCTCCCTGTTCTAATTACAGCCCTGCACGATGCAGCCTCCTCCCTGAGTATTAGGTATGTTACCTAGTATGGTTGTCACGAACAAGATCGTTAGTGGCTCATAGTCAGTGCTCAGAAAAATGCAAAGCCCATCCTCGTGTGTGCATTGACCACTGTGCGCATAAAGCTTCTGTTCTACTTACCAAGCGATTCCATTTTTTCTTTGTCAAGCACCAGGATGTATTCATAAACGCCACCCATTGATCCAGACGTTATGTAATGAGTGCCATAGTCGTTGATGAACTTGGAATACATGCCGTAATTGTACTGCTCCGGAAGCTCCATTAATGACTGCAGCATGCTTTCATCCAGCACAATATTGTCCCTTCTCATCTTAAAATGAGCAGTCTGCACCTTTGTGGAAATTCTCATGAAGTTATATTTCTGCCAACAATCACCGCCGTCGAGTAAGGGAGAAGAAAGAGAGTACACATTTTACCATATGACATAACGCGAAAGATCAGCATTAGTAGCTGTGGGAGATACGTGTATTTATAAACGTGTGAGCATCAATACCCACAATGGAGTGTTATTCTATTTTACAGGCATATATTAAACACCCGTGTGTGCCTGACCACCTCTCTCATGCCTGCATCTCTGTTCCCACTGACCCTGTTCAGGTCCTGTTTGCCTCAACTCTCAACTGGGTTGGTTACTGCAATGTGCTTCCTAGTACTGGTGACTGTGTTCTGCCCCCATTCCATTGTCACCTCTGCCCATCTCCCTGCCCCAATTATAGCACTGCATGAGGTAAGCCTCTTACACAAGTATTAGATATCCATTAAAAATTATGTTTGGGGGGGTGCACTTGGGTGGCTCAGTCGGTTGAGCGTATAACTTCAGCTCAGGTCACGATCTCGCGGTTCGTGGGTTTGAGCCCCTCATTGGGCTCTGTGCTGACAGCTCAGAGCCTAGATCCTGCTTCAGATTCTGTGTCTCCCTCTCTCTCTGCTCCTGCCCCACTCGCTCTCTGTTTCTCTCTCTCTCTCCCCAAAATTAATAAACATTAAAAAAAAATTTTTAATGTTTTTTAATTGTGCTTAGGAGTAGTTTTGATGACATGAAATTCTAAGATGAGTTATTTATGTAACTTATTGAACAAATATCTGTAAGAGTCTGTAGTCACTGGCATTATGCTTGGAGCAGAGGACACAATCTTGGATGAGACCGGCCCCTGCCATCATGGAGCTTACATTCTAGTGGTAATCTTGTACTGTTAAGTAATGAGGTAAGGCAGGCTCCTGAGATAACAGGGGTCATACTGGATTGGTTTAAGAGGGAGAGGATCATGTGTGGGCATTACTTCACTTGCTCTGAAGCAATAGTGAAATTTTGAAAAGGCCACCTGCTTTGAGAAAAGTCCACATGACCATGTGATCGCCAGATCTCAGAGCAACACTTTCCCTTCAGAGCAATAGCTGACTTAAGGCAACGCTCTGGAATGTACCTTGTATTTGTTGAAGAATTTTCATAACTGTATTTTCATCATCCAGAATAATTTTTTGAGCCCCAACTAAATCGGCAGTTCTGGTATCAGGGTTATTGAGGCTTTCTGGTAAACTTTTAACCAACTCAAAGAGTTGGCCAGAGAGAGAGTTCTCTGGCCCCTGATGGTTTCTCCTCCTTAGACCCTACTTTTTCGCTTCCCACCCTGTGCCGGCTGAAGTTCTGGCAATCCCAAATTTGTGGGAGGCAATCTGCCATCTGCAGACCTTTGCACAATGCTGTTTCCCAGGCCCGGAGCACCCTTTGTTCACTTCCATCTCCCTTCGTCGGGACAACCTGTTCTAGTCTTTAGAGCCCCGTTTAGGTAGATGTCCCTTCCTCCAGGAAGCATTGCCTGGCCGCTCAAGTTCAAAGGAAGCTAGTGGTGAATGTTTGATGGATAAATGAATGCTTGCGTGTGCCAGTCCTCTGATCTATTCAGAAAAGCAAGGCTGGCTTTCGAATTCTTCCCAAGCTAGTTTAGAGGGCCTGGCTGTTTCTCTTGAAGGCATTCCTATTCTAAGTATTCCCATTTACTCCAGGTAACCATGAAAAAGAATGGGGTGAAGCGAGAAGAGTTCCAGCCTTATCATTCAATTTTATTCCCTTTGTGGTGATTCTGTGTGCAAAAGTGTAATAAGAAAAACAAACATGATTACCACTGATCCGACATTTCCAATTACACAAGCAAATGAAGATTCAATTACTACTGTACTTTTTTAATGCAATTAAGGTAATACATGTTCAGTGTAGATTATGGAATACTGTTTGGCACAGGCATTATGCTTTAATACCTTGTTATTATACTTGTTTAACTTATTCACGAACGAAGAGTCTCGTGACCCGGATAAACCCACATCCACTGTTGTTTCAGGGCTGCCCGCGGGGCCCACACCAACAACCACTCCTGCCGACACAGACCTGTCATTCTTTACTTTAGAAAGAAGTTCATTTGCATCATTGTATAACTCTGAGGAGAGTCTAGTATCTGCCAGGGCCTGAAAAGAAACAAACAGATGTTAGCTTTGTGCGCCAGAGTTGTATCTCGATCTGTACTTAATATTGAAGTCTTTGCTCCGTAAAATATTTCAAGTTGCAGAATTTTGTTAAGTTTGTTTATTTTGAGAGATGGAGCGTGCGGGCACGCGCAAGAGTGGGGGGAGGGGCAGAGAGAGAGGAAGAGAGAGAATCCCAAGCAGGCCACACTGTCAGTGCAGAGAGGATGTGGGGCTTTAACCCATGAACCGTGAGACAATGACCTGAGCCAAAATCAAAAGTCGGGCACTTAACTGACTGAGCCACCCGGGTGCCCCTGCAGATTATTATCATTATTTTAAAAGGCTACTCCAGGCATTAGGTTGATCCTCGCTCACTAAAATTCTGAAAACATAGCAGTTAGTTTAGTTATTATTTAGTGGTTGTGCTAAATATTTCTTTAAGGGGCACCTGCATGGCGCATTTGGTTAAGCGTCTAACTCTTGATTTCTACTTCGGTCATGATCTCCTGGTTTGTGAGTTCAAACCCCGCCTGGGGCTCTGCACTGTCAGATTCTCTCTCCTTCTCTCTCTGCCCCTGCCCACCACCCACCCCTCAAAATAAATAAATAAATAAAAATAAAATATTTATTTAAGTACGCACACACACTCATGATTCTCATAACATGCTGTATTGTTCTGAGTGTGGATTTTTTTTTCCACCTGACTTTTCCTTCCTGTAGAAGAGGCTGCCTTTCCCTACAACAGGGACACCCAAAAAGCCGCATCTGGGCCTGGATCTGGGAGGAAAGGGGCCAGGGGGCCCAGCAGGTGGTAGGAGTTCTAGGCAGAGGTTTGCGTCCACAAATGTCAGGTTACTTCACTTCAGGCACACAGCACAGTGGCGTTTCTCTGGCAACTGGAGCAGAGTCATGACTCGCGCCTTGCCTGAGCCGAGAAAGCAAGGGTTAAGAGCACGTGGGTGGTTCACTCCTCAGTCACAGGAGCACGTATGCGTCGCGATGGAGTCGCTGTTAGTTTGGGTCCCGCGTGTCTGTGACAGACGACTTAGGGTGGACGGGTGGCATAGGGCATTATTTTCGAAAGCCCAGAGATTTCAGAATCCTTGGTTGCCACCGCATAGCCTAGTCTATCTGGCCGGACACATAAGCCCCACACCATCCTCGAGGTTAGGAAAATGGCATTGTCTGTGTCTTCCGGCTTGGCTTCCCATTGGCCTGGTGGCATTGGTGAAAGTAGTGGGGAAGCGGACGCCATAAGCCTGGCCTCATCCTGCCATCAATATTTATCTCTTGAGGAAGTTGGGGGAGGAGGATGTGACCAATAATGGGTCAGAATCCCTGGATCCTACATCTCTCTGTAAAGACAGAATGCATAGGACTATATAGATAGAATGTGTGTGATCTGTCTTGCCTTCTAAATGACATATAGCCGGGCTTAGTTCAGATAGATCTGGGTTTGAAACTCGTCTCTGCCACCTACAGCTTTGGGCCTGACGCTTTATCCCTCTAAGTCTTTGAGTCTTTTTCATATCTAATGGGGCGATGATACTATCTACCCCTTTGTGGTGTTGTGAGGCTTAGGTGAGAGAATTTGTGTGCAAGCGTAAGATCTGATGCATGGCAAGCATCCAGTGAGGTGCAGACATCTCACCCAGAGGGTGAAGGGTACAGAAATGAATGACCTGGGAGTAGGCGCTGGGGCTGGTCATGAGCCATGTGGTGCTCCAAGGGACTGGGGAACCACACAGTTTTGGAGGTAGAGAGAATTTAGGGATCGTCAGCATTTTGCAAGCAAGCACTTTTCAACAGCAGAACCCTCTCCGTACACAAAATCACCGACAGAAAATCAAGACAGGAAAACTATCAGAAAAAGATAAATACCATATGATTTAGCTTATATGTAGGATTTGAGAAACAAAACAAATGAACACAGGAAAAAAGAGACAAAAAAAAAAAGATGCTTAAATGCAGAGAACAAATTGGTGGTTGCCAGAGGGGAGGTGGGGGTAGGGGGGAAATTGGTGAAGGGGATTAAGAATACACTTATCATGGTGAGCACAGGGTGATATATGGAAGTGTTGAATCACTATATTGTACACCTGCAACTAATGCACCACTGTAGGTTAACTATACTGGAATGGGAAGAAAAGAAAAGAAAAGAAAAGAAAAGAAAAGAAAAGAAAAGAAAAGAAAAGAAAAGAAAAGAAAAGAAAAGGAAAGGAAAGGAAAGGAAAGGAAAGGAAAGGAAAGGAAAGGAAAGGGAAAAGAAAAGAAAAGAAAAGAAAAGAAAAGAAAAGAAAAGAAAAGAAAAGAAAAGAAAAGAAAAGAAAAGAAAAGAAAAGAAAAGAAAAGAAAAGAAAAGAAAAGAAAAGAAAAGAAAAGGAAAGGAAAGGAAAGGAAAGGAAAGGAAAGGAAAGGAAAGGAAAGGGAAAAGAAAAGAAAAGAAAAGAAAAGAAAAGAAAAGAAAAGAAAAGAAAAGAAAGGAAAAGAAAAGAAAAGAAAGGAAAAGAAAGGAAAGGAAAGGAAAAGAAAGGAAAAGAAAAGAAGAAAAGAAAGGAAAAGAAAAGAAAGGAAAGGAAAAGAAAAGAAGAAAAGAAAAGAAAAGAAAAGAGAAAAGAAAAAAGAAAAGAAGAAAAGAAAAGAAAAGAAGAAAAGAAAAGAAAGGAAAGGAAAGGAAAAGAAAGGAAAAGAAAAGAAGAAGGGAAAAGAAAGGAAAGGAAGAAAAAAGAAAAGAAAAGAAAGGAAAAGAAAAGAAAGGAAAAGAAGAAAAGAAAAGAAAAGAAAAGAAAGGAGAAGAAAAGAAAAGAAAAGAAGAAAAGAAAAGAAAAGAAAGGAGAAGAAAAGAAAGGAAAAGAATAGAAAAAGAAAGAGGGAGGGAGGAAAGGAAAGGAAAGAAGGAGGCAGGGAGGGAGGGAAGGAAGGAAGGAAAGCAAGAAAGGTGATCAGTGAGTAGCTGCCCCTGGTGAAGCAGGGGCCTTGGACTCAGAACACTGCCCAGCCACCTCCTGTCCTGACCTCCAATTTACATGGCAGGGAACTGGGCCCAGGGAGAGGCAGTGAGCTGTTCAAGGTCTCAAATACTTACATTCTAACAGATTACAACCTGGTAATAAGTCTTCTGACTAGCAGCCCAGAGAAATGGACCTCGAATCTGTTTCATTGGTTTGGGAATGGAGCCAAGATCTAGCAGGTGGATGGTCACCCTCATGTTGTGCCTCTTTTTGGCCCTGCCCTTGCCTGTCCGTGCCCTTCAGCACAGAACATGGGTGGGGGCAGACGTAAAGGGGCCTTCGGACACCAAAGAGCTCTACAGGAAATAGAGTCTTCCTAAGCAAGGCGTCCATCCCCATCAACAGGCCTCTCTCTCCCCACCCCACAGCGGCCTGTGAGCACCCTGTTCAGACTCACTTCAAAGTGGTACTTGAGGAAGTTGTAGGGTTTCCGGAAGTACTTCTCATCTTCTCCGTAGTAGAGACGCTCACAGGCAGGGTCATAGCGAAGCGCTCTCCACTCCCCGTTGTATACTGTCTCACACTGGCCCCCGTAATACCTGGCATCGTACACGCTCTGAGTTTCCTGCTGGGTCAGGATATTGTACCTAGAGTGAAAAGGCAGGCAGCTGCTGGGAGAGAACACTGAAAAGGCAAAGAGCATAAAATATCCCCTGGAAGACGTTGTTGCTGGTCTGAGCAATGGTTTCACAAACTGTGTTCTCTGGAGCCCTAGGGTTCCTCAAAGTGTCTTAAGGGCTACTTTGCCTGACACGGGGAACCAGAGTGGGCGGAGCCGGGCCCCCAGATTCCCTTTCACCAGAGCAGCTGAAGGTTCCATCAACACCTAGAATAGGGCGCCCCCAGAGAAGGCACTCCTAAAAATCGGGTGTTTGAGTTAAAGAGTAATATGCACAGTTACCAAAAATCCAGGCACAGAGCCGGAAGTCTGAGCCCACTTCCTAGCTCTGCCACAACTAGCTGTGTGATCTTGGACAAATCACTTAACCTCTCTGTGCCTCGGTTCCATCATTTGTAAAGAGCAGTCAATACTGCTGCCCTCAGAGTGTTAAATATGAGCTGCAACATACAAGGAGCCATAAAGTACTTGGCATATATTAAGTAGCAAGTAAATGCTGCCATTGTGGGTTTTGTTTGTAGTGTTTCAGGAAAAGCTTTGCTGGTAAAAAAAAAAAATAAACTTGACATATTGGGTGTAACTCACGTTGCTAAGTTGAGAATCTGACCCTCAGAAAGGCCATTGTTTTCAGGGCGGCCTGGAATGTCAGAGGGTACAATTTGAAAATCATGGAGACTCCTGTTGAATTTCCAGTTTGATCACCTACCAGCTCTGTGAATTTGGATACATTATAGATGGCTTTCTGAAGTTCATTTTCCTCATTTGAAGAACAGACAGAATAAAACCACTTCTCATGGTTTTTGGGGCATCTAAATGAGAGCATTAAAGTAAAATGCAAGTCCAGTTGATAGTCCATACTATGCACTCAACAAGGGATACTTCCTCTCCCCTAGCCCAGTACCCTCCCAGAAATACTTTCCTTTGCTTTTCTCTCTGGGGCATTTCACATCCATCCGCCTGGGCACTACATTTTAAGCCACAGACAGTGGAACCTTACATAGGCATAAACAGCATTACATAGATGAAATACAGCTTTAATTTTCTAGAAAAAGAGAAAGTTAATGGAACAAAAACATTTCACTTTGGCTAAGAGATCCAGGACCTAACAATCGAAACCTCTTATGGTATAGATAATAAAATGATTTCTTGTCTCTGCCTCTCAAACTCCTATTCAGCCTTTAATACCCAACTCAAACATTGCCCCCTCTATCTGACCCTCTTTGATTATCCTGGACAGACAGCTATTCCTTCCTCTGTGTTCCCATGGCAGTCAGTGATTACCTCTGTCATAACATGTGTCATATTTTTTCATTCCCTCCATGAAAAGACACAAAGGCAGAAGATGAGCAGGGGGTTCACTATGAATAAAACCTGTCTTGAAGAAATAAATGGGTAATTATAGAGCACCTAGCATATAGTAGAAATTCAAGGTATGTTAAGTTCCTTCTTCCTTTCCTCTCTCCATCTCTTCCTTCATATTAATGGAAGTGATGTAATAATAGCTATGGTGAATTGAATACACATTCTACCAGACGTGTAGCATGTGTTAACTTTTAACCTCCTGACAATTTTGCAAATGCAAAAACTGAAGCTCAGAAAAATTAAGCAATTTGCCTATAGTCACAGATAAAATTTTTTGACGCTAAAATCTGTGTTCCTTCCCTTTACTTCTCTGCTTACTTTTCTATCTTCTCGAGCATTGAACATGTTTCTGCCTTTGGCTTATAAATATAGGCTCTCCGGTGAGCCAAACAAAAAGTCAAAAGAATAATTAGTTTTAAGACGTACTATAACCTCTAAGCATAAGAGGTTACTAAGACTACTTGTATTTAGACAAGCTGGTTGCAGAAACCCCAATGAAAATAAAAAGATATAAAGAAATGCCACTTTTTGGAAATCTATGCAGAAATACACACATGCACAAAGATACACGTACAAGGATGTCCACTGCAGCATTGTTTATAATAGGGAAAAAATGGGAAACAATATAATCATCTTTCAATAGTCAAATAAATTTTCATGTAGTGATACTATGGGAGAAGAATCAGCAGCCTTTTTTTATAAAGGGCCAGACATGAACTATTTTCGGCTTTACAGCCCATAGGTCTTTGTTGCAACTGCTCGACTCCATCACTGTAGGGTGAAAGCTGTGTTCCAATAAAACTTTGTTTACAAAAACAGACAACAGGCCAAATTTGGCCTTCAGGCCATAGTTTGCTGACCCCTGTTATGGAACATTATGTTGCTTGGAAAAAGACAATAGAAAATATGGGGGGAAATCTTCCAAATATATTAAGTTAAAAAAGCAAGTTACATACAATATGTATAATATGATCACATTTATGTAAAATATGCTTATGTCTATCATACACAATACATATAGGCACAGCTTCTATACAATGTATATTTTCGGTGCATTTTTTACATGATCTGAAAGTCCTACACCAAACTGTTACACAGGGGTCAGTTCCAGGGAAGGAAGTGAGAGAGGGTGATTGGGTGGGATGTGGGTCGGGGAGGGCGAAGGAAGACTTTCATTTTTTTACCTCAAACATATTTTCTTTCTGTAGCAATAAATTAAAAATTTAAAAACTGGGAAATGCTTAAATTAAAAAAAAATAGATATCAGGATAGGCTTCTGAGATCTTGAACAGAATAAAAACCAACTGTTGGGAGTGGGCGTGGGGCCATTCTGCTGGTTTCAGTGTTCCGTGTAGGTGAAGCACACTCGTGAAGTGTATTTCAATGCTCCTTTGAATCACATGAGAGCAAAGTCATGGTCTGTGATCTTTTCGCCAATAAGCAGGGATTCATTTTCAAGTTAACACCTCACTATTTCATGCTTCCACTCTGTTTATCCCACAGTCATGATCAAAATCAATAAGAATCCCCTTTGATGAGTATTAGGGGCTGAATTGTGTCCCCCTGACATTTATATGTTGAAGTCCTGGACCTCCGTACCTCAGAAATTGACTATTTTGGTGAGAGGGTCTTTACATAGGTAATTAAGTTAAAATGAGGCCATTAGGGTGGGCCCTAATCTCGTATGACTGGTGTCCTTATAAGAGGTGGTTAGGACCCCGACACACACACAGGGAAGGGCAATGTGAAGACACAGGGAAATGGCAGCCATCGACAAGCCAAGGAGGGAGGCCTCAGAGGAAACCAATTCTGCCATCACCTGGCCTTGGACTTCCAGCCTCCAGAGCTGTGAGAAATACATTTTTGTTTTGTATAAGCTATACGTTTCTTTTGCCATTGCAGCCTGAGTGGACCAATATGCCACCTTAGGGGGACAGAGAGAGTTGCCTCACAGGACACTCGGCAGAGCAATTCTCCTAAAAGACCCTCTTGTGTTGCTAAAACTAATACTCGTGATTGAAGAGAAGCCATTCCCTGGGCCCAAGCAGTCAGGAAGCAGGACTCACCCCAAGGCCGCACTCTCTGACCCTGGAATGGGGTCATACAGGCTGCAGTCGCTTTCCATGACCCTGACATCTTCACAGTCATCCTCGTCAGAGCCATCAAGGCAATCCTTGTCTCCATTACACACGAGGTGGCGTTTCAGGCAGCGACCTGAGAGAGGAGAGGCTGTGGATGCTTCCAGAGCCTCCCAGACTCCTCACTCTTCCCATGACCCGCATCCAGAGTCACCAAGCCCCCCCTACTTCTGAAACAGCCCCTCCCCCGCCTTCATCATGTCCATCCTGTCTCTGTCCTCACTGCCTCTGCCCTCCTAGCAGCCTCGCTGTCTCCCACCCGTAGCCCCCAACCCCTGTTCAGGCCCTGCAGCAGGCTCCCCTCTAGAATTCATCCTCCATATGCAGCTCCAGTGACCTTTCTCTATATCCTTCTGTGGCTCCTAACTATTCCCATTCTTCCAAATGCCACGGTCTAGCCCCCAGTTCCCTACGTGGCCCAACCTCTACCTCTCTTCCCAAAGCCCTGACCTGCAATCATTCTGCACTATCGCCAGCCCTTAAATCCCTGTGCTTTTGCATATTCTTTCTCTTAGCAAATCCATTGCTCCTTTCTAAGTCCCAACTCAAGTGCCCTTTTGAAGCCTGCTCGGACTTCCCAGCACAGGTTTGAGCATCCCCTGCCAGAGAGTCCCCTTGGACCATGAGCAAACACCCATTACGCTGGCTATCATACAATATTATCATCACTCCTTATAGGTCTCTCTCCCAAAGAGACTAGGAGTACCTCGAGGTCAGGCACATCATCTTTTCATCTCTGTATCCCCAGCAGGTAGAACACTGCCTGGGACATACATGCCCAGTCAATATTTATCCAATGAATGGATGAATGAGTGAACTGTACCTTTTCTAAATGAATCAACAGATGTTCCTACAAACTTACATCAAAATTACTTGGGTTACTCGTCGGCTTAAAATGCAGATTCCTGAGCCCCATCCCAAACCTACAGAATGCCAACTTCTAGGGGAAGGGCTCAGGAGTCTGCATCTTCACAAGCTCGTGAGTGACTGTTTTTGCACATTAAGTTTGACAGGCGCAGCTGTTGTCTCACTGGAACGCTACTCACCTGTCTCCTTACACTGGAAATCCTGTCCACACTGCGCTTGCTCTAGACAAGCTGTGGGACTCTGACAGCTGGCTTGATCCCAGACATCACCACTGCAGATGGTTCCCCCAAACTTGTTTGGCTGCAGGAGGCTCCGGAATCGGTACTAAATCAGATTTTGAACCAGACACATTCATTGTCTATCAATCAAACAAGATTTGTGCAGGCGGGTGTCAGCTCAACATAAGGAATAACTGTCTCGTGATTGAGAGGTGCCTAAAAAGCTGTCTTTGGAGGGGATGTTCATAACTGGTGGTATTCAGCCAGAGGTGCCTCAACCATCAGCAGGAATATTGAATAGGGCCTTCAAGCATCCAATGAAAGACTCAAACAAAATATTTCTGGGTCTTTTTACTTGAGAGGAAGGACCTTCTCCCCTCCCTTTTCTTCAACCACTTAGTACCTATTCATCTTTCATGATTCACAGTGTACCTCCTCTGAAAGTCTTCCCTAAGTAACATATTCTATAGTTCCCTGCACCTCCTTCTCTCTTCCCATTTGTCGTATAAGGTTGTGATCCCTTGTCTGCTTATTCATTTACCTTTCTTACTAGTTTAAGAATCTTTTGCATGGTGAGGAGGAGTGGTGAAGGAAGGACCACGTCTTATTTGACTTCATACACTTGACACTTGATCTAGGGTCAGGTACACAGGAGGCACTTTTATGAGATGTTTGTTGCTTTCCCTCTGTACCATTTCTTCCAGTCATGGCATCCTCTCTTTCCTTGGAACATATCGCATATGGCTCAGGTGGGGATGATCTCACCCCCCAAGTCACAGGAGTGTGTGGGTATGAACCAGGCCAGGTCAACCAGGGCACCATATGCCAAATTACAGTGATTGGTTTAGAGATTGGTTCATGGCTCAACCTTAGGGCAATCATTAGTCTCTCTGAAGATTTTCTTTTAGAACTATTAGAAAAGACCATTTCTTTTTGCCCAAGTTGCTGGAAACTGTGGGCATCAAGTGGTCATCTAGCCTACTTATGTTAAAAGAGACCATCCAAGAAATGAAGACATCATCTCAGTCCCTGGGTTTGGCTTTGACTGCATATGAATAAATCCTTGTTGAAGGAAGTATGGAAAGAATAAAATTCACACCAATCTTGGAGCTCTATGGTTTCATGATACTGCTTTCTATATGGTGCATAGCTTTGGGCCCTAGTGTAGAAAGAGGAAGCTGAACACTAGGATATTCAGAGAAATATGAGGTTCCATTCCCACCTTCAAGAAGCTTAGAGTCTAGTTGAGGAGACAAAATAGATAACAATAGAAAACATGCTGTATGGAGAGCTCCATGCAAAGTGTCCAATAAGAGAATGTGCAGTGCCATATTTTCTTCTGCCTCTTGCCTTGGCTCAGCCCACAGGCCCCTCCTTCAAGAAGGTTCATAACTAAGTAGGAAAGCAATGGTTTCAGCAACAAGAAAAGTGAGTTCCTGGCCTAATTCTTCCTTCCTGCCTTCCTTCTTTCCTTCGTCTTTTTCTTTTTTCGTTCTTTCTTGTTTTCTTTCTTTCCATCTTTCTTTCATTCCTTCTCTCTTTCTGTCTTTCTTTTGCCTTCTTTCTTTTTCTTCCTTTTTCTTTCTTTTGTTCTCTCTCTTTCTTCTTTCTTTCTTTCTTTCGTCCTCTTTCTTTCTTTCTCCCTTCCTCCCTCCCTTTCTTTCCTTCCCTTTCTTTCTCCTTCCTTCCTTACTATAGCTGATACACAATATTACATTAGTTTCCGTTGTACAACAGAGTGATTCAATTTCTCTATGTTACACCCTTCTCACTACAGGTGTGGCTCCCATGTGTCACCATGTGATGCCATTACAATAACACTAACTACATTCTCTGTGCTGCACCTTTCATCCCCATGACCTACTCATTCCATAACTGGAAGCCTGTACCTCCCACTCCCCTTACCCATTTTGCCCATCCCTCCACCACCTCCCCTCTGGCAGCCATCAGTTTGTTCTCTGTATTTATAGATCTGGTTCTGGTGTTTGTTTTTTTTATTCCTGAATCTCTTTCTCACTTGCTATGTAAAGTATCAGTGCCTGGTACTTTGTACCTCAGTTTCCAAATCTGTAAAATGAGGTGGTTGACCTAGATGACCTCACTAAGTATAGCTACTAATGATTCTTTCACTGTGTCCATTTACCTTTGAGTTTCTGTTTCCTAATATGTAAAGTGTGATGACCCCTCACTTTGAAAGGGTGTTGTGAGAACTAAGTGAGAGAATGTGTGAGGAAATCACCTGGCCCTGTGTCTGACATATCATTGGTGCCCATTAAACAGAAGTGGTTCCACATCATTATCAATGGAGTTTTTCCAGAAGGTTCCAGTGGGTACATGTGGAGCTGCAGCTTCCCCCTCCCTCCTCTTGTCTACTTCTGCCTCCACAACTGCTCATTGGCAAAGAGACAGAGGTAGCAAAAAAGGTGAAGAGTAAATCTGTCCATTTGCCTTTCCTACCTCCCAGTTAATAACAGTGATAAGGGATTTATAAACTCAATGGGAAGAGAGTGTGATTAACAATTGGTTTGTAAATATGAGGACATTTTAATTCTCTTCCAACATCTTGCCCCCCAAATCAGTACATAAAGAAGTGCTTAGCGTACCAACGTACAGCCAAATCTCCTTCTCACTCTTTAAAAAGTCCGTCAGAGTTTTAAGACCTGCAGTTACCAACACAACGATGATGATGGTAACTACCATTTATTGAGTGTTTGTTGGCTGGACACTTCATATTCTTTATCTCATTTAATCCCCACAACTTTAGGAGGTCAAATACTATTCTGAATCCCATTTTAAGCTGGGTTAGAATTCCAGTTCTGCTACTTACTGTGTATGTGTCACTGGGTAAATCACTTAACATCTCTGACCCTGTTTTCTCATCTATAGAATGAGAGATATGGGGGTCTTGTGAACATTAGCGATAATACATGTAAAGAAGTCAGCACTTTGCCTGCTGTCTTGAATATACTCAGTAATAAGAGTTACCACATCAATATCATTTTGTTAGCCTGCTGTTGGGCTACTCCAGAAGGATTTATGACTGAATGGGAATTGGATTAGATGGCCACTAATATCGCTTATGACTCTCCACAGAGTGGAGGGGGAAGCAGGAGAGTGAAGGGATCAGGCACATGGGCATTTTGGAATCAGACTGACCAACTGTCAAACCTAGGCTGTGCCTCTTTCTTTATGGGTGACCTAACCAAAGACCGTCGTATCTATCCGTCACTTACAGTTGGCTATGAAAGTCAGCTAAGAATTTATTAAAGCATCGGCACAGTGCCTGGTATATAGAAATGATTTAATAAACGGTAACTGTAAATGACATTATCACCTTCCCCTGGTTCCTGTATTGGAATGATGGTGCAGTCATGAGGTTCATTCCCACTGACTCCCCATTTTCTAGGTCGTTATCAAATAATGAAGACATTGTGTTGCCGAAAGGTTGGTGCAGAAAGTCCCTTAGGGATTTCTCCATGGTAGTGCCTGTGTTGGTATCATTAAGATATCATTTTCTTTTCTAGCTAGTCGATAATATTTCTTTCCAGAAATGCACATCTTTGTTTGGGTGATTTTGAGAGGAATAAAAACCATATGAATAAGAAGAAACTAGGATGGTCTTTCCCTTACATAATTAACAGAATTTGTTTTAAGGATTTCTTTAAAGACACATATGTCTTTTTGAGTCATTACTTTGAGAAGTTCAATTCTAATTTGAATAGCAAGTCATTCACCTGTGCTCTCTGCTGTCTACACAGCAACACATGAGGGGAAAACGCAGTTTAGGATATGTAATAAGCTAAATACTGGCCATGCAAAGAAAGCAAGTCCTAGTTCTTAAAAGTTGTAAATGTTACCTTATTTGGAAAAGGGGTCTTTATAGATATTATTAAGGTTTTTGAAATGGAGAGATTACACTGGATTATCCAGGTAGGCCCTAACGGTCATCATGGTGTTCTTATAAGGGGAAGGCAGAGGAAGATTTAACACAGACACACAAAGGAGACACACAGAAGAAGAAGAGGTAATGTGACCACAGGGGTAGAGAGCGGAGCCCAGAGATTGGCCCCAAGTCAAGGATTGCCGGTGGCCACCAGAAGCCAGAAGAGGCAAAGAACAGATTCTCCCCTAGAGCCTCCAGAGGCAGCATGGCCCTGTCAAACTTCTGGCCTCCAGAACTGTGAGAGAATACATTTCCGTTGTTTTTAAGCCACCCAGTTTGTTACAGCAGACTCAGAAAAGTAACACAGGATATCAAAGCAAAATGAGATTCTGGGAGCCAGATATCTTTGAACGGGGCAGTCTGGGATTCCTTGGCATATCTCAGAGACAGGAGAGGCAAAATAAATAATTTCAGGCTTTGGAGCTGAATAAATGAGGTCCCAATTGTGTTCCCATCTGTAATGATTTTGAATTCCATGTGATTTTGAACAACTCATTCACAAGGTAGCCCTGCATGTCACCAAAGACTGCGTCTGGAGGCCCACTCTTCAGAAGCTCAGGGGAGAGAAGAACAAGTCTTGATTCAGGCAGTGGCAGCTGGTTGGAGAGGGAGGCATGTGTAGTAATTATACAAACAGCTAACATTCACTGAACACTTACTATATGTTAGGTGCCATGGAAAGCACTGTGCATACCTTACTCATTTAATACTCATAAGCCTATGCTGTAAGTACAATTCCTACTTCCATTTATAGATAAGGAATCAGAGGCATGGAGAGGATAAAATATATGCCCAAAGTAACATAACAAATAAGATGCAGAGTCGGAATCCAAGTGGTAGAATCAGAGCTTAACCACTTAGACTTGACAGTAATGTACCAATAGACAATGTTCAGGCAATGGTGTTCCAACTGGGAGAGGTGGGAGCCTGGAGACATCCTAGCCTGGGTACATCCAGTAAAGGCATGTGTTGTCTGTAGAGATTTTAAAATAGTAATAAAACAGACGTTATTCTGCCTTTTATTATTACCATGAGCCAGTAATTATGAACAAGGTCAGAATTTTAATACTCCGCCCTAGCAGAGCAGGTGCTCCCAAAGTCCCCCTTTCTTTGAGGTGACACTGGGTTTAGTGACCATTTTGGACCGTTCAAAACCACTTAGGTGGGCAAGATAGACTCTTGTCTGTTGATTGGGTGTGTCAGCCTTTTTAAGCCATGAAAGTAGAATCCTCAGGAACATTCTCTGGTTTATCTCAGCTCCCCACAGGTTATTAGCCCCTCTAAATGACCTTCATCGGAGGGCAACAGGTTGACCAGGATCCAGAGAGGCACGGGGATCAGTGTGCCTATGTCTGAATGGCCCCCTCTCTGCACATCAGCCATTAACATATACATCTTATGTAGCCTCACCCCATAATGACCTATAAACAAAAGCAGAAAAAGTTCCACCATCTATGTGCCCATGGCTTCCAAATACCTATTTCTAGACCTGATTTCGACCCAGACCTCAGATTTATAGACCTATTTATCTCCATTTAAATGCCTAGTTCACCATTCAAATATCGAATGCCCCCAACCTGGTTAAAAATGTCTTACCTTTTTGTCCTGACATGGAAAGCATTCTGTCCACTCTGACCAGGTGCTCAGCTGGCAGTTAAGTGCTGTCAAGGTGGAACTCTGAACAGCCCGACTTACTCTCCTGTAAAGAGGAAAGACCCTTACTTCAATTTTTAAGATTTATATTATGGGGGCGCTTGGGTGGCGCAGTCGGTTAAGCGTCTGACTTCAGCCAGGTCATGATCTCGCGGTCCGGGAGTTCGAGCCCCGCGTCAGGCTCTGGGCTGACGGCTCAGAGCCTGGAGCCTGTTTCCGATTCTGTGTCTCCCTCTCTCTCTGCCCCTCCCCCGTTCATGCTCTGTCTCTCTCTGTCCCAAAAATAAATAAACGTTGAAAAAAAAAAAATTAAAAAAAAAAAAAAGATTTATATTATGGTAATTTTTATTTTTGTTGTAAACTCAAAAAGGTCTTTTCATAGGAAGATATCTTAATAATATGAAAACAGATTAATTCTTCCTCACCCGTACTGAGATATAAATGAAAAAAATTGTATATATTTTAAATTCACAATGTGATGGTTTGATGTACATTGTGAAGCGATCACCACAATCAAGCTAATTAATACATCTATTCCCTCACATAGTTATGTGTGTGTGTGTGAGAACACTTAAGATCTACTCTCTTAGCTAATGTCAAGTACACAATACAGTACTATTAACTGTAGTCAGCATGTTGTACATTAGATCCCCGAACTGACTCATCTTATAAATTTGTACACTTTGACCAACTCCTCCCCATGTCCCCAGTCCTTTGTGACCACCATTGTACTCTCTAGTTCTTTGAGTTACACTTGTTTAGATTCCACATAGAAGAGAAATCATTCAATATTATCTTTCTCTGTCTGGCTTATTTCACTTAGCATAACGTCCTCCAGGTTCATCCATGTTGTTGCCAATGACAGGATTTCCATCTTAAAGAAGATGCCCTAAAGAGGGCTAAACAGATGTTGAAATTTTTATCTTTTTTTTTATCATTTTAAAATTCAAGTATAATTAACATACAGTGTTATATTAGTTTCAGGTATATAAGTATAATAATTCAACAATTCTATGCATTACTCAGTGCTCATCAGAATAAGTGTAATCTTAATCCTCTTTACCTATTTTACTCATCCCCCTACCCACCTCCCCTCTGGAAACCACCAGTTTGTTCTCTGTATTTAAGAGTCTGGTTTTTTTCTTTTTCTCATTTTTCCTTTGTTCATTTGTTTTGTTTATTAAGTTTCATATGTGAGTGAAATCGTATGGTGTTTGTCTTTGTCTGGCTTATTTCACTTGGCATCATACTCTCTAGTTCCATCCACGTTGTTGCAAATGGCAAAATTTCATTCTTTTTTATGGCTGAGTAATATTCCGTTATATATATGTATGCCACATATTTATCTATTCATCTATCAGCAGACACCTGAGTTACTTCCATATCTTGGTTATTGTAAACAATGTTGCAATAAACATAGGAGTGCACATATCTTTCTGAATTAGTGTTTTCATTTTCTTTCGGTAAATACCTAGTGGTGGGATTCCTGGATCCTACGGTAATTCTATTTTCAGTTTTTTGAAGAAACTCCAGTCTGTTCTCCACAGTGGCTGCACCAGCATGTGTTCCCACCAACAGTGCTTGGGGTGCCTTTTTTCTCTACATCCTTGGCAACACTTGTTAGTTCTGCTGGTTCTTATTTCAGCCATTCTGAAAGGTGTGAGGTGGTATCTCATTGCGGTTTTGATTTGCATTTGCCTCCTTTTAGTGATATGGAGCATATTTTCATGTAGTCTGTATGTCTTCTTTGGAAAAATGTGCGTTCATGTCCTCTGCCCACCTTTAATAGGATTATTTGGTATTTTGATGTTGAGTTGGTGTTGGATATTAACCCTTTATCAGATGTATCATTGGCAAATATCTTCTCCCGTTCAGTAGACTGTGTTTTGTTTTCTTGATGGTTTCCTTCGGTGCACAAAATCTTTTTATTTTGGTGTAGTCCCAATAGCTTAATTTTGCTTTTGTTTCTCTTGCCAAAAGAGATATATCTATAAAAATGTGTCTGCAGGTGATGTCAAAGAGATTACAGCTTATGCTTTCTTCTAGCAATTTTATGGTTTCAGGTATGGCATTTAGATATTTAATCCATTTTAAGTTTATTTTTGTGTATGCTGTAAGGAAATGGTCCAGTTTCATTCTTTTGCATGTGGCTGTCCAGTTTTCCCAACACCATTTGTTGAAGAGACTGTCTTTCCTCCATTGCATATTCTTGCCTCCTTTGTCATGGATTAACTGATCATAAAAGCATGGGTTTATTTCTGGGCTCTCTATCCTGTTCCATTGATCTATGTGTCTATTTTTGTGCCAGTACCATACTGTTTTAATTACGATAGTTTTGTAGTATATCTTGAAATCTGGGATTATGATATCTCCAGTTTTGTTGTTCTTTTTCAAGCTTGATTCAGCTATTCAGGGTCTTTTATGGTTCCATACAAATTTTAGGATTATTTGTTCTAGTTCTGTGAAAAATGCTGTTGGTATTTTAATAGGGATTGAATTAAATCTGTAGGCTGCTCTGGGTAATGTGGACATTTTAACAACACTGATTCTCTTAGTCCACGAGCACGGAATATCTTTCCATTTGTTTGCGTCACCTTCAATTCCTTTCATCAATGTTTTACAGTCTTTGGAGTACAGGTCTTTTACGCCTTGGTTGAGTTTATTTCTAGGTACTTTATTATTTTTGGTGCAATTGTAAGTGGGGCTGTTTCCTTAATTTCTCTTTCTGCCACTTCATTATTAGTGTATAGACATGCAACAGATTTCTGTATGTTAATTTTGTATCCTACAACTTTCCTAAATTCATTTACCAGTGCTAGTAGTTTTGGGGGGGAATCGTTCAGAATTTCCATACATACTATCACGCTGTCCGCAAAGAGTGAGACTTTTACTTCTTCCTTACCAGTTTGTATCAGATGCCGAATTCTTTAATTTGTAATGTTTGCCCATTGATTTGGGCATCTAGGTACCTGCAGAATGTACAACAGTGCCACCCTATATTCCCTTACCCTTCAGGTTACCTGGTGGGAGTGGGGATAGAGCAGGAAGGGTGTGTCAACAAACACAGGGATTCTTACTTGGAAGGCCTGGCAGTAAGGGCGCTTCCAACATTTGCATGATCTTATCTTCCTTCTTAAGAATTGCATGTACCGGGGCGCCTGGGTGGCTCAGTCGGTTAAGCGTCCGACTTCGGCTCAGGTCATGATCTCGCGGTTCGTGAGTTCAAGCCCCGCATCAGGCTCTGTGCTGATGGCTCAGAGCCTGGAGCCTGTTTCAGATTCTGTGTCTCCCTCTCTCTCTGACCCTCCCCCGTTCATGCTCTGTCTCTCTCTGTCTCAAAAATAAATAAACGTTAAAAAAAAAAAAAAAAAAGAATTGCATGTACTATTTTTTTAAATTTACATCCAAGTTAGTTAGCATATAGAGCAATCATGATTTCAGGAGTAGAATCCGGTGATTCATCCCCTAATACAACACCCCGTGCTCATCCCAACAAGTGTCCTGGTTTTAAAATGAAAGATATGTGGCCTCGTGCCCTTTCTCTGTTTTTCTATTTTTTTATTGAAGTAAAATACACATTATGTAAGTGCGAGTATCCTAGTCATTTTTACGTGTGCAGTTCAGTGACATTCAGTACGTTCATATTTTTGTGCAACCATCACCACTGTCCGTCTCCAAAACTCTTTTCATCTCCCTGCATTAATTTTGAGATGCAAAATTTAAGCAAAGGAAAAGGCTGTACAAGTTTTCCTTCCAGCCAATCACAGTTTTGAGAAATGAAGAATGAAAATTTATTGTGTTCCTACTGTATGCAGGTGTGATGCCGGAGGGTTTATATAAATTAACTCTTTTAAATCTATATCAGTCCTATGTGGATCAAGTTATTCTAATTTTAGAGAGACAAGTACAGAGGAGAGCTTGCAATTTTGTACATTAATGTTGCATCCTACAGCCTTACCGAATTTATTTATTACTTTTAATAGTTTTTTGGTGGAGTCTTTAGGGTTTTCTATGTAGAGTATCATGTCATCTGCAAATAGTGACAGTTTTACTTCTTTCTTGCCAATTTGGATGTGTTTTATTTCTTTCTAGTGTCAGATTGCTGTGATTAGGACTTCTATGATCATGTTGAGTAAAAGTGGTAAGAGTGGACACCCTTGTCTTATTCCTGATGTTAGAGAAAAAGGTCTCCGTTTTTACTGTTGAGTATGATGTTAGCTGTGGGTTTGTCATATATGAACTTTATCATGTTGAGATACGTTCCCTCTAAACCCACTTTGTTGAGAGGTTTTATCATGCATGGATGTTGGATTTTGTCAAATGCTTTTTTCTGCATCTTTTGAAATAATCATATGATTTTTATTTTTCATTTTGTTAATGTGGTGTATCATGTTGATTGATTTATGGATATTGAACAATTTTTACATCCCTGGAATAAATCCCAGTAGATCATGGTGAATGGTCCTTTTATTGTGTTGTTGAATGTGGTTTTATTCATATTTTGTTGAAGATTTTTGCATCCATGTTCAGCAGAGGTGGCTTGTACTTTTCTTCTTTGATAGTGTCTTTGTCTGGTTTGGGTATGAGGGTAATGCTGGCCTTGTAGAATGTATTTGGAAGCTTTCTTTCCTCTTCTAGTTTTGAAATAGTTTAGGGAAAATAAGTATTAACCTTCTTTAAATGTTTCATAGAATTCACCTATGAATCCATCTGGTCCTGGACTTTTGCCTGTTGGGAGTTTTCTGACTACTGATTCAATTTTGTTACTAATAATTGGTCTGTTCAGATTTTCTATTTCTTCCTGATTCAGTTTTGGAAGAGTGCCAATTTCTAGGCATCTCTCCATTTCTGTTAGGCTGTTCAATTTGTTGGCATGTGATTTTTGTAGTAGCCTTTTATAACCCTTTGTATTTCTGTGGTGTCAGTTGCTACTTCTCTTCTTTCACTTCTGATTTTATCAATTTTGGTACTCTTTTTTTCTTTTCTTTTCTTTTTAAATATAATTTGTCAAATTGGTTTCCATACAACACCCAGTGCTCATCCCAA